AAGAAAGAAACCTATATAGGAGGTAAAACATGAAGATATATGTATTGAGAAATAAAGAAAGAAGAAAAGAATGAAAAGACAGAAAAAAAAAAAAGAAAAAAAAAAGAAAGAAAGAAAGAAAGAAAGAAAAAAGAAAGAAAGAAAGAAAGAAAGCAAGACATGAAAATATGTATGGAGAAAAAGAAAGAAAGAAAAAAAGAAAAAGAAAAAAGAAAGAAAAAAGAAAGAAAGAAAAGAAACCTATATAGAGAGGTAAAACATGAAGATATATGTATTGAGAAATAAAGAAAGAAGAAAAGAATGAAAGAAGACAGAAAAAGAAAGAAAGAAAGAAAGAAGAGACCTTTATGCAGACAAGCAAGACATGAAAATATGTATGAAGAAAGAAAGAAAGAAAAAAGAAAGAAAGAATAAAGAAAGAAAGAAGAGACCTATATGAGTACAAGCAACACATTAAAATACAGATAAATATAGAATGAAAGAAAGAGAAAATGAAAGAACACAGACGAAAAATGAGATATCAAGATGTGAAAGATAAAAAACAAAGAAAGAAAGCAGTGACCGAAATAACGAATAAGGCAAAACATGAACAGATAATATATATATATATATATTCTTTTATTTATTCTCTCTCTCTTTCTTGAGAAAGAAAGAGAGAATAAATAAAAGAATACAGGGAAAAAGGAAATATCTTGAAGTGAAAGAAGGAATGAAAGGAAGAAAAAGCCGTAAGCGATAATATCTTTCGAAAAAGACGACAAAAGGAGAGGAGATCAAAAGATGTGATTTTAAAAATGGAAGGAAAATAAAAAAAAAAAATGCCAAAACATAGAATAGAATAAATAAAAAAAAAAAAACTCGGCTAAGACGAAGCAATTTGAATCGTGTTTAATATGAGACGAGGCGGGAAAAAGGCAAGAGAATGTTTGAACAGAGAGTGTTTTTGAAATTGCACTGGTTGGCAGGTGCTACATATTCGCTTGGTTTACGAGGAAGCCGAAACTGGTGTTAAGCATGCCTTTTTCGCGCAATATTGATTGATGCAAGACACAGTGGCTACATACAAATATTTTCAATCAACGCCAGATTTTACAAGAACACGAGGAAACTAGAGAGATCTTTGAACTCCTCTCCTCTAAAACGAACGTCTTATAAAACGTGTTATTAAATTGGATTCGCACCCCAACATCAGTTACTTTCGATTGGGTTAATTTATTGTTTGATCCGTTTTTTTTACGGCTTATCAACACTTTATATGTAATTTAAAATAAAGAGACATTTTTAGACTGTTTGTTTCTGTATTTAATAATATTTCAGTGATACATGTCTTACTAATTAACCCATAGCTGGGGAGAGAAGATGCGGATTCATAATTTTCCCAAGGGTATTCGCGCGTAAGTTAATAAAACGAAACCCAATTGAAATTGAGTCTCCGATTAACAATTCCCAGCCGTTGACCGCACATCTAAGATTAGAGTAGCTGATATTCCAAAGTCGTCACCCATCTAGGTTCACCAAGCTCGACGTTGCTTAACTTCGCTGATCATAACGTAAACTGCGTTTCCTCGCCGTAAGCCTTGACCGGGTTAAGGCCTATAGTAATAGCGAATAATGCTTTTCAGAATGTGAGCAAAGTATAATGACACAGGAGAACTGTGCTGAATTGTTATATAATATCTACTCACCTGTGTGGCACGGAATTTTGGGCAATCTCTTCAAAGGAAAAATGCCTTCAATCGACGGACTTGTGGCTTCCCCCTAGAATACTGATATGCCAAGGACAGAACATATGACAAATGAGGAATTATTAGGGATATAAAGCGATCGTTGTGCTTTTTTAAAAATCACCATCACAGCGAACACATTAACAACAAGTTTGTCTTTGTAATTATCCCCTGAAGATGACCTCAGAGGAGATCGAAAATACTTGGATAGGAAAAACTACAGTATTTTTCTTTGGTGAATTTCATCTTAAAATCAAGGAAGTGATCAGAGAAATCGAAAGGATAATTATCAAAATAAATATATATATATATATATATATATATATATATATATATATATATATATATATATATATATATATATATATATATATAACGCACTATCCAGACGCGCTTAATCACAAATTAAGGAATATAGATAGTATTAATATATAACCCCACAAATCAGGACCTACCCACATTCCTCACCCACACAAGGCAGACATGCTTGCGGAGGTGTTGAGGCCTCACATTTATACACACATACACACACACGCGCGTATATTCACTTACACACATCATACTTACTCACTCGCTAATGTGCCACATGATAACAAACACCTATAGTATTATACTCACTTATACACATCATACTCCCTAAGAACCAAAGAACACACACACACTGAACAGAGAAACATCCCCTTTCCAGGAATCAATAAAACTGTCAAAATGACCAAGAGAATTCAGAGCAGCCTGAATCCATCCAGCTCTTATCTCAAATAACAACTTAAAAGAGGCTATTTAACCAGCACAAGTATTCACCAAAATTCATGTTAAAAATTTTTTTTTAATTTTTAAAAAAACAAATGAAAACTACAGATAAAATTTCATTTTCTCCATCAAGACATTCATTTCTGTAGTTCACTGCTACTAACAAGCAAATGTTTTTTTTTCCCTGACGAAGGCCATGTTGGCCGAAACTAGTCGAGGAATCTAAATGAAATAATAATAAAAACGGAAGAATATTAATATACAACCCGGTGTGTCTGAAGATTTTAATTTTTCATTGCTCAAAACACATATATATATATATATATATATATATATATATATATATATATATATATATATATATATATATATATGAAATGTATAAACATAAAAATGTCTTAAAATAATTGTCGGACTTTGTCCATTTGATAATGTGTGACGTCAGTGTTTACATTTGGATACACATTGAGCAGATATGAATATACGTGAGAGATTCATGGAAGATTGTAGTTTAAAAGAAGTAAAATCGACCTTACTAACCGAACGATCCTCTGTGACCCAGTCGGTTAAAGTCCGTCAGGCCATATGACGGTTCCATATAGGATACAGGTTCGATTCCTGTCGGAGGACGAATATTTTCTATGAAAATTTCTCGAACATTCAGGCCGGTAAATGTTATTAATACTGTTTATTATTAAACAGAGCATTTACTTAAATATTTGTATCTATAAAATAAATGTTTAAACATAGAAATGTCTTATATATATATATATATATATATATATATATTTAGTTTATGAAAAACTAGGTAATCCGTTTAGGTAACCTCAAGGAGGATAAAATCCAGAGAGCTCAATGTAAATCCAGAGTAAATAATTTAAATAAAAACAGACCACTTGAAGGTTCCATGTAATACATTATTTCACTACAGCCCTTTTAAAGGAATGCGGAACATCAGACTTTACTTCCAAAGGTTGTTTATATATATATATATATATATATATATATATATATTGTCATCCACAGACAGCAGAATGCTTCACTATATCACAGCTCTTCAGTATGGTTAGACATCCGATTGCCTCAGACCTAGATCGAAACCCGACTGATTTGGCACCAGTCGGAGATTTTATATATACACATCACACCAGACAAGTACAGAAGTCCATATAAACATATGGCCGCAAATGTTTCGCTTTTATGTTAAATTTAAAAATGTGTTTACGGTAGATGGCGCTTTGTTGCCACATAGACTAGTTTACATTTGTCATTCGTGTATATTTGTGGCTGTATGTGACTTCAACGTTTAATGAGTGCAGTAGTGAGTTAACTGTGAAGTGATCTGCTTAACAATGACAAGATATCCATATTGTAAGCAGACATATGATTTTTACATACAGCCATGCGAATGGTAATGGACGCGAGGTTTCAGGACTGTATCACAGTGTTTCCAGACCCAAGACAGCCGAGTTATCCAACCTTTCCTGATGTTTATCGTCACATTTTATGTTTTGGTGTCATTTTTGGAATGTATCTTGAATTGTACATTTTACAGAGTCTCACGTAAACTTTAGACTTAATTAAAAAAACAAAGGATTTGCAGACATGTTTTTAGGCGGATTTTTGTCCTTTTTTTGGCGTGAAGATTGATTTGATTTGGCTTGGTTTGGTTTGGGTTGTTTTACGGCATATCAACCTCAATGGGTTATTTAATATTTAGTACTGACAAGATTTAAATTGCTGGTAATAATTTTTTTCAAAAATGTATTGCTGGGAATATTTTTTCCCTTCAAAAATTAATTGCTAGTAATAGTTTTTATAAAAAAACTATTGCTGTATTAACACCCATTGTTACCCTTTCATAGTCATATGGCCCCCGGGGGGGGCAACAATTTGTCCATAGATCGGCTCACAACAGGTATTACCACCCCGAGTCAGAAGGGACCGGGGAACACCGCAATTAAGAGGTGGTTCCACGCTTCTCAAAACTTCCTGATCAGAGGCCTTGTTGTTGGACATAGTTTATTGTCTTATCCGGGATGTGGATATAGTTTTTCGCCATACCAGGACGCGGATGTAGTTTATCGTCATACGCCGGACAGTGTTTTGGTGTAAAAAAACCCACCTCCAAAGTTTGTAAAAGTATTTTTGATACACCCTGTATATATAAACTGTAGATTGAGGGATTGATTTGTTTTTTTGTTTTTTACGACCCACCAACCTTTTGCTCGATATTTAAAACCGGAAAATATTTTTTAAAGATAAAAACAAAGAAAGAGAGAAAAATATATAAAGGAAAACGTTAGAAGAAAGAAAAATTGATTTGATTTCTTCTTTACGACTTATCAACCTTTTCCGGGTTATTTAAAACCAGAAACTATTTTTACAGCGTTAGAATTTTTTTTCTAGATAATAATAAATTATGGATACAAGACCTATTAATTAATCCATAGCTGGGGGATAAAAGTAAGATTAATACATTTACCAAGTGTATCTGTCTGTAAGTGAATATAACCACATCCAAACTTACATCACCTGGTATTCCGAAGTAGTCACCCATCTAAATACTGACCAGGCTTAACGTTGCTTAACTTCGCTGATTTTACGAGAACCGGTGTTGCAACGTGATATGGCCGTAAGCCTAGATTTCGTATTACTGGCTATGAACATTTAGCAAATGGAGAAGGTGTTACTGGAGTTACATAATCCCCTACGGATGTCGATAATTCTTAAAATATTCAGTGTGAGAAAAAGTCGCGTGCACAAAAATAGGTTGAAAGCTCGATTTTGTTGCTTTTCACGTCTTTCTTTTTCATGAGAAAACATGTTTTTAGGCAGCTGCACTACAGTAAACAGTAAACAATAAGTAAAACAAGGTTAATATGCACCCTAGATGCGCTAAATTTGTAGCGAGTACCAAAAACCAGTACACAGAAATATCTTGATACCTCATTCGTCCAAAAAAAAGTAATTTCTTTATAAATAATAATATTTATTACTCATTATAAATAATAATATTTATTACTCATAAATAATAATAAATAAAATAATATTTATTACACACTTATAAATAATAATATTTATTACACACTTATAAATAATAATATTTATTACTCACTTATAAATAATAATATTTATTACTCACTTATAAATAATAATATTTATTACTCACTTACACTTGTCTGATCAGGAGCCGTTCTAATGTTGCGTTAATTTCTGGTCCACCATTTGTTTTATTTATTAAGATCCACTATCTGGATGTCCTCAGGGTTCTAAGATATGGAATATTCATCGAGGTCTTATCTATTTGACGAGGGCTTTTTTGTTTGTTTTTTTGTTTTTTTGTCAGCTAAAATCTCTCAAGTAGCGAGAAAAGGGAATATTCATCAATGAGCTTATCTATTTGGCAGGTAATCTGAATTTCTGAATTTCATTTTATTCACCGATAACCGTTACGCAACTTCGAAAGATAACATGAGCTAAAAAAAAAAAAAAAAAAAACAAAAAAAAAATTAGAAGGTTATGTTCAAATTCTTTCTGTAAAGCAATAGCCTTGGTCCGAAGTGAAGAATAATGAAATTGAATAAAAACATAAAGATGAATTTTGGCTGATCTTCAAACAAGCATATATATATATATATATATATATGTGTGTGTGTGTGTGTGTGTGTGTGTGTGTAACAGTGTTTGTGAAAAAGCTACCGCCTGGCTTGCATTTCAAAAGCTGACCAATTGACTAAGCTCTCATTTTTCTTTAGGATAGGCCTCTTGGTAATAGAAAGCCCACTCTCTCTCTCTCTCTCTCTCTCTCTCTTTCTCTTTCTCTCTCTCACTCTCTCTCACACACACACACACACACGCATTCTCTCGTTCGGTCTCTCTCTCATTCGATATCTCTCTCTTTCTTTCTCTCTCTCTCTCTCACACACACATATAGGTTTGACTGAAATATCTGTCTATTTAAACATATATTTTTAAATATAACATACAATGAAGGTCTATTATGTTTGATCAGGAGCCGTTCTAATGTTCGAAACATTGCGTTAATTTCTGGTGAAAATAAAGACAAAAATTGTCCAACATTTGGATATTTTATTCATTAAGTTGGTCGTAAGCTTTCAGATCACATGAGCCATCCTCAGAATGGTTCTACAGATATGAGACAGATATCCATAGTTTTCTTAGAAAAACATAGATATGTACATAATATTAGACAGATATTAGTTGAGAATGCAATAGTACTCACATAGACACGCAGTAAAAGAACCTTCAGATATTGGAGGCCATTTACATTTAAACAAATCAACCCAGACTCAACAAAATAACATTTGAAACTAGCCACAACATATTACATTGCATCTAGACAATGGTTCTGTTGTAATACTTCGGTCTGTCACGTGGTATGACGTCATAGAACCTCATCTTAAACTTAAGATCCGCGACCGTTATCTTCGAATAGCAATCTTCTACATCGAAACAATAATATATCATCTTTCACGGCGGATAACTTTGTTTTATGTCTGTATAACCACACTGACGATGGCTCATGTGAGTCGAAACCTTAGCACCAACTTAATAAAAAATATCCAAATGTTGGACATTTTTTGTCTTTTATTTTCCCCAGAAATGAAAGCAAACATTCAAACATTAGAACGGCTTACGATCAGACATATTATATATACTTTGTCTGTTATATATAATAATATATGTTTAAATAATGATCTGCTGCCCAATACACTAAATTCAAATTATATATATATATATATATATATATATATATATATATATATATAAATATATATATATATATATATATATATATATATATATATAAATGAGAAAAAGAACAGTTGAAGCAAAACTCCACAGTTCGTAGCATTTACTTTTTTAAAAAGTGCTCAATACAAAGTAGAGCAAAATATTATTATAATATTTTTATTAAAATAGAATTTAGAAAAATCATTTTACATCTCTAAACAAAAGTTTTCATGTTTCAATACTATCTTTGTACTTCTTCAGCCGATGGTATATAACTTTTGGTATTCAAAAAGATATTCATAAAGAATGGTTTTAAAAGCGTAAAAGCTGCCCCATTCATAAAGAAATCGTTCCAAAGTAGCAAACAATAATCATATCAACTTGTGTAATTGTAGAAATCCTAAGGACTGTCCATTACAAAATAGATGTTAAACTGAATGCCTTGTTTAGCTATGTAGTATTTCATCTAGTGAAAATCCAACAGATAAAAAATTTTATATCGGTAGTTCCAAAAATTCATTTATAACTAGGTGGTATCAACATGTGTTGTCATTTAGCAGCAATGCTTACGGGAAGAGGACGTCTCTTTCTAAATATTTTTGGTACTTAAAAGAAGTTAATAAAACCCCTAAGGTAAAATGGAAAATATTAAAAAATCTAGAACTTGTAAATCTTTACATGATCGATGTTTTCTGTGTTTACAAGAAAAATTGAATATAAATTTTGCTGACAAAAAAGTATTGTTAAACCAAAGAAATGAATTAACTGCGTTATGCCGGCATTATCTATCCTTTACCTCAAGATATACTTTTAAAAAATGATAAATAATTATGTATTACAAGTTCATAGCCATAATTCTATTAATATATAATTGCCCACCAAATACGAGTAGTGTATTTGTTTGTTTTTTTCAACATTGGAATGTTTTGTCTTCTATTTAATATAATTAGCATCGTAAATATAGAAGTTCTAATTTTTATAATTTTAGATATTGGCCGCTTTAAGAAGCTTCCAAAATATAAAAAAAAGTTTTTAAAATAATATGTTTCTAATAAATGTATGCTTACTTCAACAAATCAGAACAAAATACTTAGCTATATCTACGTAATTCATGTGTCGTTGCCATGTTGTATACAATTGTTCAAGGACGGGTCTGCATGTTATCTTGTTAACGAGTAAATTAATTCAACAAAATCGCCATTTGGCTTCAGTCACGGCTTCCAGACGACGTTGGAATTCCCTAAAAATATTCTGGAAGGTTTCCTTGCTTAAGCTGTTGAATGCTGCCATAATCTTTGCCTTCAGTTCGTTTTTGCTGTTACCAGGAATTTTGTTAGTCCCTCGCTCAGCTGCAACCTAAGCATAATAAGCAAGGTGTAAGTGGTGATGTTGTCACAGAAATTCTCTAACAGCCATGTCTGGGTTCTCCTGCTTGAATGCATGGTGCATAGTCCTGCTGCCAGACATAGGGCCTTTCAGCAGCCACCCTCTTGACCTAAGGTAGAATTTCCTTTACTATACACTCGATGTAGAGCTCCGTGTTGAGTCTGAGACCCTCAGCATAAATTCTGTACTTCTTTTCTTATCAGAACTATCAAAATGAATTTTCTGAGCTGCCGTACCTTCGTAAGGACCATTAGACACATCCAACTCTTTCCGAGTCCTCTGCACTGTCCCAATATTAACACCCAAACACACTTAAATGTTCGTATTGGAGCTTCCGGCGCGAATGCCAAGCAGTACAGCATCCCGTTTTCAAATTTTTGGTGGAGTGAATTGCTTCATGATGTGCTTTGTCTCACAGTGTACAACTGACCCTAGTGTACAGTGTAGTCGACAAAATAATATATATATATATATATATATATATATATATATATATATTCAGCTCGAAATTCTTATGATCTGAAGAAGTCAGGGGCATAAAAACGGCTGAAACGTTCTGAATATATATATATATATATATATATATTATATATATATTATTTACATTATTATATATATATATATATATATATATATATATATATATATGGAGAGAGAGATTCATATTTACCTTATTTACATTATTCATTGCTGTTATACTCATTTTTGTTGCAATATTCAGAACATTTCAGCCGTTTTTATGCTCCTGACTTCTTCAGATCATAGGAATTTCGAGCTGAACCCTTTATCTCATCCACCGGACTAGATTGATCTAGTTCCGCGTGCCATGCCTCTTCCGGATCTCTCAGTATCAGTTATCACTCTTTAACTCAACACTCGTTCACTTGTAGCCAGGTATTGAACTCACAACTCTTTGGGTCAGGTCAAGTCACTGGATCCAACCAACGCTTTTATCCACTTGGCTCCTTCAAGACATTCGTTTATGAATTTGGGGGGACTTATAAACCTAATGATTCAGTAACTTTTTTTTTACCAGAGCTCATATTACAATTTAATTATTTTTATTGTTTTTCTCTAGCACTCCGTATTACTTTTTTTCTTTCGCATTTCTCGTTTATAGAACTGTTATGACAAACGACAAATAACACGTAACAATAAAAAGGGTTTTAATAGGTTGGTAAAAAGGTACAGAAATCGCCTGAGTAGTCAATAACTAGCTCAGCTAAGAACTTCTCTGTCTATCTGTCTTAGTATTTATCGATCCACCCACGAGGATTGAATGTGGTACAAGGCCGGTTTAATGTGGGTATCTCCGAGCCCGTAGGCTCGGCCAAAAATATAGCCTTTGAACCCGCCTAAACGGGTTCAGGCCCTGTCTACATCCCCGGACGAAACCTTGCCCTTCGGCAAAGCTTCATCCGGGTTCCTCTCTGCTAACGCAGAGAGTGCGACAAACGTCGCTTACAGTCAAAGACTGTATCACGACTCAGCTAGA